TATTGCGAAGGAAGAAAGATGAAGTGGAGAAGTTTCTTCCTGGGAAAACACAGGTTATCCTGAAATGCGACATGTCAGCATGGCAGAAATTATACTATCGCCAAGTGACAGATGAAGGGAGGGTCGGACTGGGTACTGGTATGTCATATCTTCTTTTAGAAGTTAAAACTGTGTGCTTGTGTGTCAACAGTTGGCGCTTTCTGTAAAACTAGCAGCAACTTGTAACAATTTTTATATTTTGGCCTTTTAGGGTTCAAGGATCATTTTTAAACCTATTAAGCTGTAACGTTATCCTCCTTGACTACCATGACCTTTTGCTTGGCTGCTCCTCTACTACTCTACTGATCTCTTTGTGAAAGTTTCACTGTTCTGACACTCACTATGGAAGGAAAACCTGTAATATGTCAAAATAAATGCTTATATGCCTTTGGATTTCTTTTATATCATCGAAACTAATCTGTACTGCTATAATAGTATCAGTGGTGATAGTGTGATACTGATTTAAAAGTCAAATGAATTGAATATATTGATAGAGAACCAGTTTAGGAGATATGATATCTTTTAAGATTATTGATTAAAAGTCAATTGTTTTATTTATTTTATTAAGTATGTTTAGGTTGGTTACTTCCCTAAATCATATGCTAGTGGACCTAAAACTTAGGGAGACATTGTTAGTCGTCCTAAAATTTAGGGAGTCATTGTCAGTGGACCTAAAATTTAGGCAGCATTGTTATTTTTCTGTCCAGAAATATTGACTCTTATTATATGTAAAAAGTATGAAATGATTAATACAATATTTGATTCTCCTTGTGCTTTGTTAGTTATACGAGTCTAAGATTCTTACTAATATTCTCATAAAGACTTTCCTTCATTATTAGTTTATGGAGTTAGATCCTGATTTCATAATTTAATAGAGATTTTCCTTAATTCTCTCTGCCTATCTTGAGCTCTATCATTTGGTATCAAAGCCATAAGATCTTTATGGGTTCCTTCCGCACAAATTCTAGTTATCCATTTTCTCTATACAATTTCCCATCCAGCTGTTATTCCCCTTACAAAGTACACCAATTACTTTGCATTATAGCTCGCCTTGATTTCTTTAACTTGAATCCTGCAACATGCAAAGTTCGAGACAAGGCTTTTCAACATATGCAGACTAGCACAGGAGTCATAGCTCATCGAAATCATCTGGAGGCTGGAAGGAAGAAATTCAGAAACAGAGATGCAAGATTGTTAGATCTAAAAAGAGTTTCTTAACCCTAGAAATTGAGGGAAACTGCATGTTATCATGCGGTGAAATGTAAATATGCTCCATTCTTGTTCTGGCTCATTTTCTCCCATGGAGGGTGATGTACAAAAAAGAATAGTACCAGAAGTGTTTGAACTCAGTGATGAGACATAAAGATGGAGCCTTCTTACATGATATCCTCTCTCTTGGAGAACAAAAGCGTCAACAAACAGCCCGATACATTCTTTTCCTCACTTAAAGAATCTCATAAGAGCTAAGTGCAAAGAACTGATCCACAATACTTTATGGCAGAAAGGACATAACTACATCTGCCACAATGAGTTCAACAATCTCTTATAGTACCTTGTGGGCTACCATAGCAGAAGCCACTTTCCAACGATGGAGGCCCCATTGCAGATACAGCTTGCTCAAAGCCACTTCGTATATTGTTTTATACTTTTACTGCCACCCCTACCAAAACCCCCAGATTTACAAACACAATTTTGCTTACTTCCTAAGAGCATAATACGTGTTACGATTTAGGAGATAATACGTGTTACAATTTTTTTGACAAACGTGTTAAGATTATTGATTCAAAACATTTGTTTTCTTTATTTTATTGAATATGTTTAAGTTGGTTAATTTCCTAAGAGCTTCGTCATCCCTTATTTTACAATTTATGCATCCAATCATTCTATCTCATCCATGTCATCTCCACATCATCCATCTTTAAATACCATATATTTAAAACAAACACTCACAACCCATTTCATCCATCCATCTATCCAGTTAATTGTTCATGGGTCCCACTTCTACCCATTTCTCCAATCCATCCATCTTCTATCTCCATCCAAATGTTTAAACAAAGTTTAAACGAATTATCCTATCTCTCCATCCGACATATCATCTACAATGGTTTAAATACTTCCATGCATCCATCCGTTCATATTATTAAATGGTGGTTGGACGGTCTAAGTCATGTGCTAGTGGACCTAAAATTTAGGGAGTTATTGTTATTTTCTTGTCTAAAAGTATTGATTCTGATTATATGGAAAAGTATGAAATGATTAATACAATATTTGATTTTGTCATTGGAGATTCTTCTTGGGCTTTGTTAGAAATGAGTTTATGATTCTTGCTCATATGATACAGATTTTCCTTCATATTTTTTATTTTATGGAGTTAGATCCTGATTTCATAATTTAACAGATTATCCTTCCTTGATTCTCTCTGCCTATCTTGAATTCTTCAGAGTATCGAATTATTCAAATATCCACAGACTCCACCCCATTTGCATAATGTTCATCTGGTATTTTGTTTGGATGAACTTGATGTTCACGATTCATTGTATCTTCCATGTCAGTTGTGGTACTGATTTTAGTATAATGAATTGAATATCCACTTCCCCCGTGTAGCATTCATATGATATTCTTTTGTAGAATTCAATATTCTCTATTCCTTGTATGATTTGTATCTCTCTCTCTCTCTCACACACAGCAATGAATAGCCCTTTTCAAAGATTTTAGATTCCCAAAAGCAAATAAATGCATTTCCCCGTCTTGTCAAAAGCTGAAATCTACCACTTGTCATAAATTTGAAATTGCAGGAACTGGAAAATCCAAAAGCTTGCAGAACTTGTCCATGCAACTCAGGAAATGTTGCAATCACCCATACCTTTTTGTGAATCAGTATAATATGTGGCAAAAGGAGGAGATTGTAAGAGCATCTGGGAAAATTGAGCTTCTTGACCGGTTACTTCCCAAACTCCGTAAAGCTGGACATAGGGTCCTCCTTTTCTCACAGATGACCCGTCTCATGGACATTCTTGAAATCTATTTGCAGCTGAATGAATTCAAGTATCTTAGACTTGATGGTGGAACAAAGACAGAGGAAAGAGGTTCTTTGGTGAAGCAATTCAATGCCCCAGATTCCCCGTACTTCATGTTTCTCCTCAGTACTCGTGCTGGTGGACTCGGCCTGAATTTACAGACAGCAGATACTGTGATAATCTTTGACAGTGATTGGAATCCTCAAATGGACCAACAGGCAGAAGATCGAGCACATCGAATTGGGCAAAAGAATGAAGTCATGGTTTTTGTTTTAGTTAGTGTGGGATCAATCGAAGAGGTCATCTTGGAGCGTGCAAAACAGAAGATGGGTATTGATGCTAAAGTCATCCAGGCAGGACTGTTCAATACAACTTCCACTGGTGTGTCTGTCTTCTAAAAATCATGACTCTGATTATAATCTGTCTCTACTGTGGACATATTTGGCTTCTTTTTTAAAGAGTGTAATTAGTATTATTTAATTGCTTATGCAGCTCAAGACAGGAGAGAAATGTTAGAAGAGATCATGCGTAGAGGCACAAGCACCCTGGGGACTGATGTGCCAACGGAGAGAGAGATCAACAATCTTGCGGCACGGTCAAAGGAGGAATTTTGGCTGTTTGAGAAGATGGACGAAGAGAGAAGGCAAAAGGAGCGCTACCGATCCCGTCTCATGGAAGATCACGAGGTTCCAGACTGGGCATACGTCCGGGCCGAATCCAACCAAGGAAAGGGAAAAGGGTTTCTATACGACAGCGCGAATCTAAATGGGAAAAGAAAGAGAAAAGAGGTTGTGTATGTCGACACACTGAGTGATCTCCAATGGATGAAGGCTGTGGAGGATGGAGAAGAATTTCTGAAGCAGTCGGGAAAGAAGAGGCGTGCTGCTGCTGCAGAGGATCCGTTGCCCAGCAAAACGCCACATAATCAAGATCAGCAGGGGGTTGATTCTTCTTCGTTGCCTCCCCCTCCTCCTCCAAATAAATGGAGCGACCATCTCAGTATTAGTTTTTCAAGAGGAGAGGAGAAAATGAAGAAGGGACACGATGAAACTGCTTTGCTGGTAAACGAGGAGGCACCAACAACAACCAGCGAAGGCGAAGAAGACACCATTGGAACAACCCCACTAAAAGGATATAATAATAATAATAATCAACCAGGAGCTGCTGCTGCTGCCCCACCATCACAGAGGAATGAGTATACCGGCTTCACTGGTAATTTGGAAGGACCGACATGGAAGTCGCTCAAGAGGAGGCGATCTAGCTTGCAATAATGAAAACCATTCCCCCCCCCTCTTTCAACTTTGGCGTCCAAAGGTTGGTGGCTATACTGAAGCATATTAGCAGTAGGCCAAAATGATAAGGCAGATCTTGTTGATTAATGTCATCACAATCAAGTAACACAGCCTCTGGTATTTGTATCCTAGTTTAGTTTCTGTACGTATGTTTGTGTGTACCATTTTGCTCACAAATAAACACTCCCTCATCGCCCCTCTCCCTTTACTAACTATTCTTTTTTTTTTCTATTTCCAAAATCTGTGTAAACTATAGAAAACATTTAGGTTTTTACAACATTTTATTCTCCTACTATACTTACTTTTGCCTACTTGGTGTGTCCTACCTAGCGCACGCTGCACGCAAGCACCTCGTCAATATTTGTCCAATGACACTCTTCATAAGCTACACCAGTCCCAATGTATTTCTCTAGTTTGACTTTTTTGAGTCGAACTTGACAAGTTTTAAGCTTCAATTGCTTTGGATGTGTATTGCGTATTAGTACAGTTAAATAATATTAGGTTTTCAATAAGATAAATCTAGTAAAATCAATTTTATACTTCTCCGTAATATATAATGAAATTTTTGTTCAATTCAAGCTCAGAGTTTATTTTGTTTGATTCAAAAAGTCAAACTGAACAAATACATTAGGACGGAGAGAGTATATGCTAACACTATGAAATTTGAATGGGAAAAGAAAGTAAAATGATTTGGAAACAAAGTTTTTCTTGTTTGATTAGAGAGGTAAAGAAAAGAAAAATAGGTGGTGGAGACATGTCGGGTACACAGAACACCTTTCTGAATCTCATCACGCACAAAGTGACAGTCAATCTCAATGTGTTTGGTACGTTCATGAAAAACGGGGTTAGCTGCGATATGAAGAGCAGCCTAATTGTCGCAGAACAACCGCATGGGTTGTTTGTGATTCACGCCCAAGGACAATAGAAGGGATTTCAGCCATTTTAGACCACAAACAGTGGTTGCCATGGCCCTGAATTTCTTCCTTCATAGCTCGTACCCAGAGTGGGTTTTTGACCGCCTTAGAAAAGAATGTAGGCTCAATATCTGTACTTATAGCTGCCAGAAAACATCTATGGGAAACAGAAAATTTGTCAGCGTTAATAAAATTTGTAATACAGTGTGCTGGACCTGAAGGCGACGTCGGTGTGGGTGAATCAGGAGAGGGGCGTTGAATGGTGTGAGTGACGAAGTCACGCAGTCGCGAAGAAGGACGACGTTCTCTTTCACTTCAGCGCAAAGTGTCTTGGGTCAGAAGGGTTTGGTTATCAAGATCAGGGGAAGGCTCAACTCTTTCAATGGGTTGGCTGTTTGGTGGTGCTGATGTAGAGATATCTGGGTTCGGTGTGAGCAATGGTCGACCGTAGTCTTGAGAACGGTTCATCGGTTCGACCGTCTGAGTGGCAGTGTCAGATTCAGAGGCTGACGGTCGACCGTTGTTGTCTAGACGGTCGACCGTTTATGAGGCAGTTTCTTCACTGGGTATTTTCTCCTCAAAAAGCTCAGAAGTGGGTTCAGTTTCTGTGAGATTGGGGGTATTTTGTGGGTGAAAGGGAAAATGATTTTCAAAGAATTTGACCTCTCGACTGACAAATATTTTATTGTTGTCCAAATCGAGAAGTCGCCACCCCATTTGGCCGAATGGGTAGCCAAGGAAAACGCAGTGACGAGAACGGGACTCAAATTTGTCTCCATGGTTGGATTGATTGTGGGCATAGGCGAGGCATCCGAAAACACGGATATGATTGTATGAGGGTTTTTTCTGAAAGATCATGGAATATGGGGTTTTGCCTTTATGTAGCTCAGAGGATGTTCGGTTAATGAGATAGGCAGCGGTGAGGATGCAATCACCACAGAATTTAAGTGGAAGATTTGCTTGGAAACGGAGGGCTCTGGCAATATTGAGAATGTGACGGTGTTTTCGTTCAACTCGACCATTTTGTTGTGGGGTACCAACACAAGAGGATTCAAAAAGAATCCCATGATTGCTAAAAGAAGATTTTAAACAAGTGAACTCTGTACCATTGTCACTTCGTACAGTTTTTACTTGTTTATTAAATTGGCGTTCAATCATAGGAAAGAAGTTACGCAGGACAGTGGGAGCTTCATATTTGTGATTCAAGAGATATACACATGTTGCCCGAGAGAAATCGTCAACAATAGTAAAAAAATATCTCGCCCCAGTGCAAGACGGAGTACGATACCCACCCCATAAGTCACAATGAATCAAGGAAAAAGGAGTAAGAGTTTTATTTGCACTAATTGGAAAAGAGTCAAGACATTGTTTTGAATGAAAACACACATCACAGGGGGAATTAGGAATATTGGTATTTTTGAATAATTGAAAAAGAGAGTTGACAATGGTGTAGGAGGGATGACCCAAACGCTTGTGCCAAATGTCCAGATCCATTGCCTCCTTCACTGTGCAGACTTTGTCCGCTCTTCTCGTGTCTGCTCAACCTACAATGTTTGCATTTTAAATCTTTAGTCGCGTCACGATCAAATTTAGAAGTGATAGCGAAGCAAACCGGGTTACGTTCCTCTTCTTGGGTAGTCTTCAAGACCCCTTCCTGCTGGATAATGATTGAGTAAACACGATTCAGTGGTGGCAAGGGCTCTGTGGCGATGATGTTGGATCGTAGACTCCCATATCCTTCGTTATCCAATCCCATCAGAAATTGGTGCACCTTTTCTTTGTCCCTTTGAATGGCAAGAGCTTTGCTTATCCCACACTTGCATCCTTGGCATTTGCAAGTGGGAATCTTTTCATGATCACCAAGTTCGTCCCAAATTGTTTTTAATTTTTTAAAGTACGTGACAATGGATGGACCGTTTTGCTTGCAGTTTGCAAGTTCTTTCTTTAGTTGATGAATCCAAGGACCATTCGCAACAGAGAAATGATCTTGGATGTCTTTCCACAGTTCTGCTCCTACCTCCACTTGTGTGATAGAGTTTCCCAGACTACTGTCAATGGTATTGTAAATCCATGACACCAGCATGGCATTTACAATCCACCATTCTTCATAATTTTCATCTCACTCTTCTGGACAATGGATGAATCTGTCAATGAATCCAATTTTCCATTTTGCACGGAATGCAATTCTCATTGCACTAGCCCATTCTTCATAATTATCACCGTTTAGTTTGACTTGGGTGATAATTAATCCGGGTGTGTCTGCGTTCTTGAGTTCGTAAGAACTTCCCTTCGTAGGGATCTTCTCCTCCTCATCGAAGATCTTTCCGATGAGATTTTCCTCTGCATCTTCCATGTCGACGGTCGAGGAAGATGGTCCGGTGGAAGACAGGCTTGATCCGACAGCGGACAGCGATGGACCGTCGTTTGTCTAGATTAGGGTTTTCCCTAGGAATCTTGCTCTGATACCATGAAGAAATTGATAAGGGAGAAAGTATTCTGTATATTGTATTGTTCTGCCTAATTACAAGAGTTTCTCCTTTATTTATAGGAGATGATAATTCCAAAATAGAAAAGGAATACAAATCCTACAGGGAAACGAAAACTAGGAAACAAATAAATCAAGATCAATCCCAATTAGAATGGGATTCGGTTATCTCAGGATTCGGATTTCTCGAGATTCGGATTTCTCGGAATTCGGACCTCTCGAAAATCGGATTTCTCGGAATTCGGACCTCTCGGAAATCGGATTTCTCGGAAGTTGGACTTCTCCGGATCCGGAGTTTTTCGGATTCGGAGTTCTCCGGATCCGGAGTTCTTCGGATCCGGAGTTCTCCGGATCCGGACCTCTCCGGCCAATAAGATAAGAATGATTATGGATGAGATAATAGTACTCCCTAGTAGAATTTACAACAAATAAAAAGAGACTATAATATTAAAAGAAATAGGGTAAAAATTATTTTAATAAAACAATATATATGCATTCATGCATCAAATTCTCATCTTATGACATACTCAAATTTTTTATGCTTAAAGTATGCATCATCGATCTTTAAGTTGACAATTAGAAAGAATACAAATTTAAAGTTTAAGAGAATGATGTACATAATATATATATATATATATATATATATATATATATATATATATATATATATATATATATATATATATATATATTATGTGTGTGTGTGTGTTTCCCAATGAGTATTATTAATATTATTAAAATATGGGTAATTTTGAAGGCACACATATACGTTTTCTTTATTTCTTCATTTGTCGCTCTAAGGCCATGGTCTGTTCACCTGATCTGAATGATTCTGATTTGATTAGAATAAGTTCTGATCTAACCTAGTCTGATGTGCTCTGAATATAGTTATATTTAAAACTATTTCTGATGTGATTTGATCTGATCTAAATGTAGTTATATTTAAGAATGATGCTTACATGGTCCTAAGATGCACATTTAAAATGTAGACCTTCTCACATTTTTCATGAGCTTACATGTGAATATTTTTTTTTTGAATCTTTTATATTACAAATGCACTAAGGTCTACTCCCTCCGCCCCCCTAAGATGTTCTCATTTTGACTTTTGGTGGTTTTTAAGGAGAGTTGAAAAAAGGTGAAAGTTTACCATAATACCCTTAATGAAATATGGGTGGAGTGTATTAAATGAGGTGGGTGAGGTGTAATAAATAAAGTAAGTGGGGGTAGTTATGGTATTTTGATTGTTAAAAAATGAAATGAGAATATTTATTGTGGACAAAGGAAAATGGCTATTGAGAAGATCTATGGGGGACGGAGGGAGTATATGATAAGCATAAACTTTAAAGTACAGAAGAATTTACCTATATTTAAAACTCTTTCTGATTCGATTATAATCTGATCTGAACTGAACGGATTCCAATAAATAAATAATAAATAATAAAAAGAAGTAGAAGAGAACATAACTCCTAACAAACATATACTCCCTATTTTTTCTACAACGATTGTACATTCATTTGCTTTATGCGGAGGTTGCCGTTTAGCATCGCCCAAAATAAAAGCTCCCATTTGTGGGAACAATGAACATTAATTACGAATCAAAATGATCATTTATTATGGAGTTGCAATCTAATGATTGAAAATTGTCTATAACCATATATACATGATGAGTATGTTGAAAAAGAATATTCCTTGCATTCATATTGAACTATCTTTTTTTTTGAAAGACTTATTGAACTAGCTACGGAGTATTGTATAAAGAATGTAATTTTTTTAATATTTTAAAAGTTGATTAAATATATATTGTCAAACATCATTGATATATTTATTTAAAGAATTTTTTGATACTCCCTATATTACAAAGATTGGTCAATTAGCTGTGAATGGAGAAAATAAATTACTCCGTACATGTTGTTACATGTTATGTTTGTCTCAATTCTCAACTACTTGATTTTAAAAAAATAATTGATGCAACGTTTGAAGTTTTGTGTTAAAAATGTAACTTATTCGTAGTTAGGATCGAAATAGTAAGATGTGGAGAGTGGTAATCATAAAGATTAAATATAAACTGTTGAAATTTGAAAACATGTACTCTCGTAAATAACAAAACAAGGGTAACACCCATAAGTCATAGTAGCATACTTTTAATTGTACATCCATAATGCTCACAATATTTGTGGACTATGAGTTTATATCTAGACTGGACTAGACTAGCAAAAGAAAGGATAACAAGACCACACTACCAACTGCCAATCCAAAATCACCTTTTTGTGTGCAAAACTCTACCAAAAAAACCATCCAAAAAGGTGTGGAATGTAATGCATGACAAAAAAGGCAATGTTTTGGTTAGGTGGTTCTCTATCCTAATACTTAAATATATATATATATATATATAAAATTGCAGTGGGACAAAAAAGAGTCAGTTAAGCAAGGTGCTAAGCTAAGTCTATGGGCGCCAAGCTCATGGTGTATGGGATGACAATGGGAGAGAACCAAGAGTTGGGCCCCAACGCGGAGACCGCGCAGATCCATTTCGCCTTCCCCGTTTCGAAATCAAACGCGTAGATGTCCGTCGATATCCTCAGCAGCAGCGTCGTGTCTTTGAAAGACAAGAGGTCGATCAAGAGGGACGACGAGTCGGTTGCGAGATGGCTCTCGAGTTTCTTGGACACTTGGTGCATGCACTTTGGGTTCCCCCTCTCCAGGTCCTCTGGAGAGAGGAAGCGCTTGAGTGCCCACTGGGACCCGAACCGGTCCTCGAGTTCCCAAACTTGAAGCCCGTCCTGCGAGATCATCACGTACTGCACTCGCCCATTGGCCTCCCCCAGGCACACCCCGGGCGCAAAGTCCAGCCCAGAAGCCGGGAAAGGCCCGTGGATCAAGCAACAGAGCTCGTTCGCAAGGTCGAACATGAGGACGCGGTTGTCCTCCGTGAGCCAGTACGCGGTCCCCCCCTCCTCCGCCGCGAACACGCACCCCTTCCTCTGCAGCTTGTGGGTCCAAGTGCACACCTCCTGCGACTCCCTCCACTCCTTGGCCCGCGACGAATATATCTTGAACCCGAACCGGTACCGAACCTCCTCTTCTTCTTCTTCTTCCATTGGGGTCTGGCAAACCGTGATGATCTGGAAATCGGTGGAAATGCGGCCCCCATGGAAGGGCCGGAAAGCCAGAGCAGTGCTGCTGTCCTTGGGGGGATGGGGCCATGGGAGGGCAGTCCACTCCCTATTCAGGGGGTTGCACACATAGATCCTGAGAGGGTTGTGGGAGGGGAAGCAGCTGCGGCAGCAGAGGAGGCCATTAATGGCGGACAGGAGGACGACTTGCTCCGGGAGAAAGCCCAGAACGCCCTTCTCCACCCTCGCCGCAGACTCCCTCTCATTCTGGGCTAGGAGGGGTATGTAGCTGACGGATTTAATGTCGCCGTCGCACCACTGATACCTCCCCTGGAAGAAGAACCCGGAGAGCCTCTCCCCGGCGGCGGGCTTCATCTGGAGGCGAACAAATGTCCGGTCGGAGACGACGGAGTTCCATTCCTTGGAGACGAATCTCAGGCGGGCCAAGGCTCTGCAAGGAAGCCTGCTCAGAATATCCGCCAGAAGGCTGCTCGGAAGCCACAGCTCATTCTCGCCGCCGCTCTCCACCACTGTAATCAAACAAGAAGAAATCCATTAAAAGTGAACCGCCATAAAAGAAATTGATCTGGGCCTTTTCGATTTCTCATCAAGAAACACCCAAAAACGGGTAAGAATCACAGGATAAATGCACTTTTGGAGCCATAGGATATGATTGATAAAGAAAAGAGAAAGACCTTTGAGCTTCTGGTTCCTCCTCCTCCTCATTCCTCTGCGGGATTATTCAGTGGTAATCCCAAGACTGAAAATGGGAGCATGAAAAAGAAGGCCGCGGCCAGGGCAATACAGGTGTAATACATATAGACGGAGTATGTATAATGTAAAATGTATATGAACCAGGTCTCTGGTCTCCCCTGCTCTCTGCTCCATGGATGGTACCTATAGGCAGGCAGGCTATAGCTGCGTGCCACCTCACCCCCCACTGCCGGGAAAATGCCAAAACGCCATGTTAATATCCTCCGGCGGTACGAAATTCTTACACCCACTCTTGTGTAGCTTGACCCACCCTCAATCCGTCCAAATTTTCAAATCTCACAAAATTACTCATCCACCACTCAAAATTTGTAGTTAAAATTTGGCCAAATTGCTCCCATACCCTTTTTATTTGGAAATTGTGTGTCAATACGAACTATGTTTTTTAAAATATATTTCAAAAATATCTGAGATTTCAAAACTTTGTACCACACCCCTTATGACTACCGTTTTCTTGTCATCTTCAGAGGAACATTAGTGCTTACCACATGGAGAAATCGAGCTCATTTCTTATTTTTCTTTTATTATTTTTGGTGTTTTCCTTTGTAACCCTTTTCTCATCTCATTGTTTTCTTTTCTTAGAAATTTTTTTAAAGTTCCTTTTCTAACTTTTTTATAATGTCCTAAAAAACTCAAAATTATTTATGCTTCAAATAAAAAAAAATTGACATATGCTCCATCTATCTCAAATTAAACATTTTCAAATTTTTTGTTTTTATTTTGAACAAAGGACGTGTTTATTCAACAAAGTCCATACGAAGTTCAGCCCTCAAGCCAATACATTCATCCCTCCATATCACTATAAACTACTTGTATTTGGAATGTACAAAAGTAGATACATGAAATTTAAGATATTCAACACACTTTGTAACCAGAAAATCTAGAATAAAAAATAAAAATATTACTCCCTCCGTCCTATAATGATTTTCTCAGAGCACTATTCCAACTTCACGGGAATTTATATTTATTTGTGTTTTTTCATGGCTTATATGATAAAATAAAATATTCTTGTCACCACTTGTTTTGTTGAATTTTTGATGTAGTTTTTAAATATGTATGTTTTATTTTTTATTTCTATACCAATACTTAAATAAAATAGATTAAAAAAAACTTGGGATTTTTCTTCGTTTTGCGAAGCGGGAAGATCATTATAGGACGGAGGGAGTAACAAATGAAATGAAATAAATCAAACATGCAAAAAATGCTCTTATACATAAAAGAATTTTCGGGATGCCTTAAAAAGTCCTTAGGGTTAGGATGTCCAAAAAACGACACGCAGTTCAAAAAAGTTTTACCTTTTTATTTTATTATGCATCACGATCTGCTGACACCAATGGTAATTAGTCCCTCGACACAAAAGCCAATGCAAATGTCACTCTATATCTGTCACGCCTCTACTCTTTTTCGTCATACTCTGGCACTGATGACTGATACAGTCACTAGTGCAGGTGGTAAAACCTACCCCCTTCCTCTATCATATTTCACCTTGGTAAACTATTGCATGGTCCTTCCCTTAAATCATCCATCCATACTTTATTTAAAGAGCAATGCTATGTTCACAAACAGAATACTCACAAACTTCACAAAATTTTTATTTATGGTTTAAAATTTCATTTTAAAATCATTTTAGACTATTTAATTTTTTTCATTGAAGTTCACAAATAGCAAGTTTGTGAAGTTTGTGACCATTGAGTTTGTGAACCAAGCATTTCCCTTATTTTAAAAGAAATGGAAGTCAACTTTTAGTTTTCCCGCCCAAGAGTATTTAATGCACTCTCCAAAATTATGTTCATACTTTCCATTTAAAGAGCATCGTTGGAGATGGTGTATTTGTAAATACGGAGTAGTATTTAATGCACGAATGAAATTGTGCGTGTTTCATACTTACCAATTAATATTTAATTGGAACGTGTTGGAGTTGTGCCCTGATGGCCAACTGTTTATCGTTATTCTATCATTTATAGGAAGATATAATATGTTTACACATCTCATGCTAATGTAAACAAATATTATATTCCTAGATTTATATTTAAAGATGTTTATCAGATAGTTTTTTCTGCTGATGAGATTAACATAAGAGTGTGTTGGTGATTTTAGTGTCATCAATTTATTTTGTGTAATTGGATTTACTTTGATCGGACAAGAATTTAAATAGACGTTGTCAAACAAGTTAGGAGGCGCGGAGTGCGCGCTCGTTCAACAATATTATAAATTCACTGCGGGGTCCGGGGGCGGCAGCCCCCGGGTAGCGGGGTCCAAGGGGCAGAGCCCCTGGCCGGGGTCGAGACAGCTTGGAAATTTTTTATTTCGGACGTTGTTTCTTTAAGAAAATCCTTAAGATTTTCGTGACCGGAGTCCTAAACGGTAAAGGACTCGTACATAATGGATAAATGTCGAAATTAAGCCTTCAACCGCAGGAGACCTTTCGTTCAAACTCGCACCTTTCTTCTTCTTGCGCGAACGTACGCGTACATCTACGCGAATGTTCATGTCCGATCACAAGGATTTTCGACTCTATAAAATAGAGTCTCGTGGTATGGGTTGATATATAGATTCTCGAGTGCTTGTTCTGAATTAACGTCTTATCCGATTGAAGTATTTCGTATACCCCGAAATAACTTTGATCTGAAAGCGTTTTGTACGCGATTCGTTATTCTATCGAGTTCTTCGTTTAACACTGCTTCGCAGTGTTCTTCATCTTTTAATTCCAACAAAGATCAAAGTTATTCCTAAAGAACTCAAAGATGACGTGTGGCGATTTCGTAAGAGATTTGAGCAGCAAGTTCTCGAAGTTAGAAAAATTTGAAGGCCAGGACTTCCGTCGATGGCAGAAGAAGATGCACTTCCTTCTCACAACATTGAAGGTCGTGTATGTACTGAGCACGCCTATGCCGCAGATCATGGATGACGAAACACTGGAGCAGACGAGGAAGCGGTGCAAGTGGGAGAACGATGACTACATTTGTCGAGGACATATTCTAAACGGTATGTCTGACTCTCTGTTTGATGTATATCAAAATGTTGAATCTGCAAAGTTACTGTGGGACGGTCTAGAAGAAAAGTACATGGCCGAGGACGCTTCGAGCAAGAAGTTCCTCGTCAGTAACTTTAACAATTATAAGATGGTTGACTCTCGACCGG